GTTCAATTGGTACTTCTGGCTTCACTCTTGGCAGGACTCTTATTATAACATCATTATAATCATTATAATTATTATAACCATTATAATCCATTATATAATCATTATAACATCGACTCTGCATCGTCCGAGTTAGGAAAAAAAGTGTGCGTTTGACTGGTACTTTCGCATTAATGGCCCTTCGCTCATTTTCAACTTCTATTCAATTTTCATTCAGCCGTACCAACAATCAATACGAAACTAACGATTTTAAATTGGCTCACTACTTGACTAGCCTATTGGTCCCAAGCAAATCGATTAACGTATCCCATTCTAGTCCAAATTCTAGTACTACGCAATGTTTGTTTTGATTCGCTATGAAAGTTTGACAGATAAAATGAGGGGTTATTGGATTTTCCTATGTTCCGAGGGGTGAATCGATTAGCGTGGGACCAAAGATAGTACCAGAGCTGAGCCATAAAGTTGAGCACGTTTCTTCGGGACCTTCTGGTCTTAGAGTTACCTCTATGGCCGTACTTTAACGGAACTATCTACCTACCCTCTTCTAAGACCATTCTCTAGCTAATAAATTATCACACTTCATGTTAGATAGCATTTCCGGCCCCACTCAATTTCATTACACTTATATCAATATCTCAATCAACCATAACCAGTATCGATCTTTCCAATCCGCAGGTCGTCGACTCCAGTCCCGATCCCGTATGCACCCTTCTGGTGTACCTGCGGGATAAGCTACGCCTGTGCGGTACCAAGCTCGGTTGTGCCGAGGGAGGCTGCGGTGCCTGTACCATAATGATCTCCAAGATCGATCGCTCCACCAATCGGATTCACAATCTGGCTGCCAATGCGTGTCTTACGCCGGTCTGTGGCGTTCACGGGATGGCCGTTACCACGGTGGAAGGAATCGGAAGTACACGCACCCGTCTCCATCCGGTCCAGGAACGTCTCGCGAAAGCCCACGGATCGCAGTGTGGATTCTGTACTCCGGGAATCGTCATGTCGATGTACGCTCTGCTGAGAAATTCTTCGGTGCCTTCGATGAAGGAGCTGGAAGTGGCCTTCCAGGGAAATCTGTGCCGATGCACCGGTTATAGACCAATTATCGAGGGATACAAGACATTTACACAGGAATTTGGAGTTGCTCAGAATGGAGTCTGTGCTATGGGCGACAAATGTTGCAAGAACCGTAACGGAGAGTCAAACGGATGTGGGGTAGAAGTTGACGATAAACTATTTGAGGCTAGTGAATTCGCACCCTTTGATCCCTCTCAAGAGCCGATTTTCCCTCCGGAATTGAAACTATCCAATACACTGGATGCCGAATCGCTTGTTTTCCGTGCATCTACTGTTAATTGGTATCGACCTAGTAATCTAGAGCATTTTCTAGCTATCAAGAAGCGTCACCCTGATGCGAAGATCATTGTCGGAAATACGGAAGTGGGTGTTGAGATGAAGTTCAAGAACTTTGAATACCCGGTGTTGGTGTCCCCGGCACAGATCAAAGAGCTAAATTGCATTGAGAAGCTCCAAGGAGGATTGAAAATTGGATCGTCTGTAACCTTGATGGAGATGGAGCGAGTCTTGCGGGAAGAAATCAACACACGACCGGAATTTGAAACTCGATTGTACAAAGCTGTCGTGGATATGTTGCACTGGTTTGCCGGGAAGCAAATCAGAAATATGGCTTCAGTGGGTGGAAATATCATGACCGGCAGCCCGATTTCGGACTTAAATCCGATCTTCACCGCCGCTGGTATTGAGTGAGTACAGTATGGTTGATCCGTTTTCTGTGAAGAAAATGCTAAGAATCATTCTCCTATATCCCTTAGATTGGAAGTTGCCAGCCTAGATGGTGGAGTTCGCAAGGTGCACATGGGTGATGGATTCTTCACTGGATATCGTAAAAACGTCATCCGGCCTGAAGAAGTACTCGTATCGCTATTCATCCAAAAAACAAACGCAGATCAACACTTCATTGCCTACAAACAGGCGAAACGGCGAGATGACGACATCGCCATCGTTAATGGAGCGTTCAACATAATGTTCAAACCGGGAACTGATGTCGTTGAGCAGGCTCATCTATCCTTTGGTGGAATGGCTCCAACGACTGTATTGGCCAAGAAAACTGGTATCGCACTGGTCGGTAAGAAGTGGGATAGCAAGCTGGTCGAATTGGCAAATGAAATATTGATTGAAGAGCTTCCTCTGAGTCCCAGTGCCCCGGGAGGAATGATTCTCTACCGTAGATCGCTGACCCTGAGTTTGTTCTTCAAGGCCTATCTGTCCATCAGTGATGCACTCTCACGCTCAGTTGTGGGTCATGCACCCGTACAAGATCGAGAAAGAAGCGGCGCCAAAACCTTCCACACTTTGGTCCCAAAGAGTGCCCAACTCTTCGAGAAGGTATCCACAGATCAACCGATCACTGATCCAATCCGAAGACCTCAGGTTCACGCTTCTGCATTCAAACAAGTCACCGGCGAAGCAGTTTACTGCGACGACATACCCAAGTACAGCAATGAACTCTACCTGGCATTTGTTACCAGCACCAAGGCGCACGCGAAGATACTCTCGATCGACACTTCGGAAGCACTAGCGATGGAAGGAGTTCATCGATTCTTCTCCGCAGCAGATCTAACCGATGAGCAAAATGCATGTGGACCGGTATTCCACGATGAATTCGTATTCTGGAAGGACTTGGTCACCAGCCAAGGTCAGATCATTGGTGCCATCGTGGCTGATAATCAAACGATCGCGCAGAAAGCAGCTCGGAAGGTAAAAGTAGTCTATGAAGAGCTGACGCCGATCATTGTTACAATCGAGGATGCCATCAAGAGAGAATCATTCTATCCAGGCTACCCGAAGGGTATCGTCCAAGGGGATATCGAGAAGGGCTTCCAGGAAGCACATCATATAATTGAAGGAGACTTTAGGATGGGTGGTCAGGAGCACTTCTACCTGGAAACTCAAGCTTGCGTTGCCGTTCCGAGGGATTCGGACGAGATCGATGTGTTCAGTTCTTCACAACATCCGACCGAGATTCAACAGCATGTAGCTCATGCTTTGGGCATTCCATCGTGCAAAGTCGTTTCACGCGTTAAGCGTCTGGGCGGTGGTTTCGGAGGAAAGGAATCCCGTGCGGGTCTGATAGCCACTCCGGTAGCGCTGGCAGCTTACAAACTTCGACGCCCGGTCCGTTGCATGTTGGACCGGGATGAAGATATGGTCATCACCGGCACCCGACACCCGTTCTACTTTACGTACAAGGTGGGCGTGGCTGAAAATGGACGCATCCTGGCCGCCGACTTTAAGGCGTACAATAATGCAGGCTATTCGATGGATTTGTCTTTTTCGGTAAAGATCTTCTGAATTTTAATTCTGAACATCTAATTCTAACACGTACAGTTGTAGATTCTCGAGCGATCAATGTTCCACATTCAGAACGCATACAAGATTCCGAATCTACGCGTTCAGGGTTGGGTTTGCAAGACGAATCTACCCTCGAATACGGCATTCCGAGGCTTCGGTGGACCGCAGGGAATGCTCGCAGCTGAAACGATGATGCATCACGTGGCCAGAGTTCTCAAACGAGACTACGCTGAACTGGCTGAGTTAAACATGTACCAGGAGGGCGATAAGACGCACTACAATGAACCGATTGAGAACTGCAATGTTCGAAGGTAGGGAAGCGATGAAACAGTTAAGGACAAACGAGGAAATATTTTTAATTTTCAGATGTTGGCAGGAAATGATGGAGTCGTCCAACTTCAAGGAACGTCGATCGGAGGTTGAAGACTTCAACAAACAACACCGTTGGCGCAAACGTGGTATCAGTGTGGTACCTACCATGTTCGGAATAGCCTTCACAGCAGTTCATTTGAACCAGTCCGGTGCGTTGATTCACGTTTATCAGGATGGGGCCGTTCTCCTGTCCCATGGTGGAACTGAAATGGGTCAAGGTCTGCACACCAAAATGATTCAGGTTGCAGCTACGACCTTAAAGGTACCATTCGATACCATTCATATTTCGGAAACGTCAACGGATAAGGTTCCCAACACTCCCGCAACGGCAGCTAGCGCAGGTTCAGATCTGAACGGTATGGCAGTTCTGAATGCTTGTAAAACGATCAACGACCGTCTTGAACCCTATAAGAAGCAGTTCCCCGACAAGGACTGGAAGTTCTGGGTCAACAAGGCATATTTTGATCGAGTGTCCCTTTCCGCTACCGGATTCTATGCGACTCCGGGTATTGGGTATGACTTCAGTACCAACTCTGGAAATCCATTCAATTACTTCACGTTCGGAGCTGCATGCTCCGAAGTAGAAATTGATTGCCTTACCGGTGATCACCAGGTGATTCGGACGGATATTGTAATGGACCTTGGATCCAGCATCAATCCCGCCATCGATATTGGTCAAATTGAGGGAGGTTTTATGCAGGGCTATGGATTGTTCACGCTGGAAGAGATGGTTTACTCACCGACCGGAACGACCTATTCGCGAGGACCAGGAGTGTACAAAATTCCCGGATTCGCCGACATTCCCGGAGAGTTCAATGTTTCCCTACTGACGGGAGCGCCGAACCCGAGGGCGGTCTACTCATCGAAGGCCGTAGGTGAGCCACCGCTATTCCTCGCTTCATCGACGTTCTTCGCCATTCGGGATGCGATCAGTGCTGCGCGGAAGGAGGAGAACCTGGACGATGACTTTAATATGGTTTCACCGGCAACTTCGTGCAGGATTCGAATGGCATGCCAGGATAAAATTACGGAAAAGGTGAGTTTCAAATTGGCACTTGAAGGCACGAGGCTCCTCGCCCACCCCGTCTAGAAAGGCGATTCAATCCGATTTCCAAATTCTTGTTTTATTTCAGTTCATGGAGGCCGCAGCCGGTTCGTTTACACCATGGAATATTATGCCCTAGGCTTGCAAGTGATACTGCTTAAAAAGGAACCAATTTTGTTAGGATTTGTATATTGATAAATATTTGAAAATAAAGGTTTTATGCTTCAATGATTTTAGAATTGGCAACATCCTCTTTCGTTTGCTTCGAACGGCCACCACAGCAGAAGATCTTCATCAGTCCCGATCGTTTCCTCGGTTGGATTTGTTTTCTGATCGATGAATTTTGATCTATACCGAAACTTACTTCATGTTCATATAATTATCGGAATAAGGCAGTTGAAACGTACTTACCCGTATAAATCGCCTGCATTGGAGGTTTGGTACTTTTCTGTGAAACCGCGCTGGTGCTCTCAATGTCCGTCAGCATGTCGGAACCGGTCACCACCGAGGAAATGCTGGACATCGAAGACCAGTCGCTCTTCTGCCGCGCAGACGATCGGCAAGATGCTTTCGATTTTTGCCGCTTCAAGGCCTTCTCACCGCGGGTTCTGGGTTGCAACGATTTAATGGATGGTAGCTTTGGAACGCTTTTCAGACATATTGGCTTGCGCAGCTGTGACTTGAGCATTTTGTATGTGTTGGAATCGAAACGTTTGGATTTTCGCAGTTTCCGTGCTAGGATCTCCAGTTCGTGGTCCTTTTCGATGTTCTTCAACAGAAGGTTGCAAATGGATCTGAAACGGGTGAAGCTTATTTGGTTACTACCCTGATGATATTAGATTGACATTGGAATCGTACTTCAGCTCATTCAACTCGCAGGTGATTGCATTGATCGTATCCTGCTGAATTCGATCCTTTTCCTTCGTTTCGAACAACAGGCGTGTATTTTGAATGCGTAGATCTCTCATTTGATGGTCCAAATCCACTCCCTTGCTGATCAGCGCCATGATCGAGTGAGCGTGTGAACTCGCTTGATCCTGTATTTTACGATTGTTCTCCTTGATACGATCGATTTCGTACTTGAGCGTTTCGAAGTAGCTTTTGGTAGTCAACTTCAGCAGGAATTTTATAGTCTTCGATTCGCTGTTACCATTTTTAATGCTCCGTTGCGAACGTCCTACGAACGATTTGGTTTTCACGGGGATCGAACTCGGCTTTTTGTGGACCTCCTCGATTACGGGTATAGGTTGCAAAACTGCCGGGGACGGAGCAGTATCCGAAGTGGGCTGCTGATGATCCTCTTCGGATCCTTCTGCTTGCAATTTGATATTTGAAACATTTTTCGTAATCCTCGATAATCTCACTTACCAGAAAACTTGATATCATCCCTGTTGAAGACATCCACCAGATTGCTGTCGTCCTCGCGTTGCTCAGGTTTCAGTCCCTCGACGGCACCGGCACTGGAGCATTTAACCTTGTATTGGTAACCGTTGTTGCGGTCATTGTTCACCAATCGATGTCCGTTTCCACCGTTTTCTTCGCTACGGCGACTCGTAGCGATGAAGGTATTGTTGCGGGAAACTTTATTCGGAGTTTTGATGTACCGATTTTTGGACGGGATCAACCGATAGGGAGACGGAGTTTTACGCGTGGACGTTTGCCTTCCGGTTATCGGGACAGGGCTCGAAGGAGAAACGGAAGCCATTTTTTTTTTCCTTACCGATGTTTTTGATGGGCAGATTGAGATGTAGAAATCACCGACTACTAGGATGTCATCTAAGTAAAATTTGCAATTGACTTTTTTTTGTATAAATATGATTTTGATTATTGAATAACTTGTTGGTTTATGTTTGCTATCATTCACCACGTCAGTTAACTATTGCAGCAGTACTTTATGTTTTGTACAAAGGTGGGGAAAATAAATTCATTTAAACTCGTTTTTTAATCATAAATGCTTATTTTAACAAAATCCTTTTTTATCTAAATTTACACTTTTTCCTTCGATGTGACACAAGTACTTTGATTTTCAAGAGTGATTTGAGGATCAATCAAATCATCTACATTGGATATAGATAGTCCACTTCTGAGACGATGATTTTGGAACTGATTTTTAGTTGTTGAGGTTATGTTCAGTTTGAAATTTCCTTAAACGAACATTACCCCATTATGAAGGAAATCCATTTTCGTCTTAATACACACACAACGTTTCGTATGATACAGAAAGATTCCACTACACTACCATGTAAATAGAAGGTAATTGTTCGTAAGTCATATTTACGCCGAAGGTTTACTGTTCTTATACTGTTTGCCGCTCTTCCGGGTTGCAACCGAGTCTTGTGAGCCGGAACTGAAACCACCTGTTGGTTTTCGATCGGTTGTTGTCGGTTGAACGGTGTTTTTGTAGGTGTAGGTGTGTATGTGTAGAAGGTCGAAGAAACAAGTTGACCAAAAATAGAAGACGAAAAATACCACAGAAAAAAAAGGGAAAAGTAGTCACTTATAATGCACGTAAATGAAACTATTTGCTAAGAAAGCGAAAAACTAACTCGTACTAATCAGTCTATTGATGAAGCCATATTATGAAAGCGTATGGTACCGTAACGTAAAGCAAAGTGAGAAAGAATGTGTTGTTAATATATTAGTGAACATACGTACATAAAATAGCAAACTGCGCACATTTAACAATGTTCCATAGATTTCCAGAAATTTTTCAGATCTTTGAATTGTTTAATTGATTAAAGAACAAAATATACAAAAGTTTCAGATAAATTTGCTGGGATAAGTAGTGACCTTGGCATTAGCATTACTGGGAAGACAACACTGGCGACTCAAGCATTCTTATACAAACACTAAAAGATAGACACAATTTCCCCATCTATTGGTCAACGGTTGAAGCTCCGAACGCATTTGATAGCAAAGACGCCAACCTCAAAAGAGAGATTTGTAGATTAGCTAATTTTACTTCCAGTGGTTTCACCTTTACTCGACCGCAGCGCCACTGTTGTTTCCAGTCTTCTTATTATGTTCTCTTTCATTACAGGTATATTGTAACATGCATTTCAAATACCGTTTACATCTACTGGAGCTCTGCAGAAGTCAATCACCCCTATTCTGTATTTCGTTCAAAACGAAATTCTCATATAAAAAAATATTTTTTTGTATGGGAATTTCGTTTCGAACGAAATACAGAATAGGGGTGAATAGCTTAAAATGCTTCGAATGTTGTCGCAATTCCTAGGAAATTCAGTGTATGTCAAGAAGTGACGCCGGCCTTGTACTGGTAAGCGTGATTACCTCTCACCCCAGCAGGCCTGGGTTCAATCCCAGTTGGCGCCGCCGGGGTGTTCTGAGGCATAACAGCTTATAACAGGGAAGTAAAGCCGTTGGGTCGATATGTAGGGTCCAAGTGTGGGAGCTGCCTCCATGACGTCGGTAGCATTGGTGCTCAGCACAGAAAACAAGATCGACGGAAAACAAATCAAGGGAAAAAAGTGTATGTCAAGTGGTAAGGAACTCTGCACACTGTGCTGAAACACAGCATGGCACACTGTTCGGCACGCTAGGGAACACGTTGACAAGTAGGACACAAACATTATAGTATAAAACGGCATCACTGTCGAGAGTAGACGTTTTGCCAATCGTTGCTAAGGTTGACTAATTTGTTTACTCCATTGGGCTTTACAATGCACACTGGACCAGAAATGCACTCGACAGTGATGCCGTTATGTATGTATGTAAACCAGTATGCCAGTATATTTCTCCAAAAAAGGTAATTTATTTAATGCATTTTCATAAGAGAAAAATATAACAGTATATGGTTGTCAGCAAAAGAGCCGAAACAGAAAGAAAAAACCAAATTTTCCAACATTTTTTTAACTCCATATAACTTAAAACCAGTAGGCTGTGGAAGTTTTACATCTACAAAAGAGTTGTTTATTTTGTCAAGGCAAACAACTTTGCCCAAGACATGAAGTCTCCAAAACGTCAGCGAAAGAAGTTAGATTGTGGCGCCATCTTTGCGGAAGAGTTTTGAACTATTTTTTTGTCAATAGATGGTCCGTATTATGATGAGAAACTTTACCGAAGACACATAGTCGCGTAAATGCTTCGTTTCAGGGTTATTAATTTTACTCCGCTAGATTGCATTTCTGGCCCAGTGTGCAATGGGTTCGTGAATCGTGCCTTGCCACTTTATTTTATGCACCATGAATCTTCTCAAAACCAACAAATCTCATCCGATTCGTAGCGAAACTCCCAGCTGATTTCGTCAATAACAGCTTCTATTCAGGCCTCATGTAAACATTATGATCGGTAGAGAAGGTCTTGTCGATACGGCAAAGAAGGCCGAAATGGGTTACCTCCAGCGACGGTTGGTCAAATAACTAGAAGATGTGGTGGTCAGCGTTGCCAGGTCAATTTCAGAAAAATCTGGACCTGTTGAAATATAAAATCTGGAAAAATCTGGAATGCTCCAAAAATCCCTGTTTTTATCAAAATGTTGAAATCAAAGTGAAGTGCCAATCTCCCGTAAAAATCGGTCAGTATGATCCTATGGAATTTATTCAAAGTACCCGAATGTTAATGAATTTCATGTTTAAAAAATATATTTAAAGCAAACTTGTTAGCATTGCTAAAAACATCCAAACGTTAAGAAAAGTATTGACAGTGCACCCAAAGGTTTAATTATCCATTACGCAGCATTTGCAAATTGAGTTAAATTATTGGTAAAATACTTCAGAAAATTTGTAGGATTCTGAAGCAGCAAAGAATCAAGCAACTTTGATGGGATGAATTTTTTAAACTAATAGTCGATATAGTCCTTACTATTTGATGCAGTACCAGAATATTCTTAATAATTTCCTTGGTGCACTCTTCAGAATAACCGTCACATTTTTTTTCATTATTTCCTAAGTACTCAAGTACTTTGCCAAAATGGCCTTTAAAGTCTCCCAGAAATTGTCATATTTTTAAAATTTTATAAAAATGAATCTCCATAGAAACATTGGACAGAATTCCATTGAAATTATTCTCACGATTTGTATCAGCATTCTCCTTAAGTTTCATCTTGAGAATTTTCAATATTTCTTTCCCGAATTTAAACTATTTGCCTTTTTCACAAAATCTTCATGCAATTGTCATCAGAGTTTTAAGAAGACAATTAACGCCGTTGCACAGACTGCATACTCACACTTCACTGTAACGTCAATCTATCCAATCGAATTTCAAAGTTGATACGTGTTTTGGAATGTACCAATAGCGTACCATAATGGAGGCGAACCAGCCCAAGGCTGAAAGCCTCCCTAATAAAGCTAAATAATAATAATAATAGCGTACCATAGCGTACCTTCAAGGATTTTGAACGTACCTCAAAGCTTAACGGAAAACCCGTGTCCCGCTGGATAGACATACGATTTCAGCAATGACCAAGTCGATTGACCAGATTTTTACGGAAATGTGACGTACGAAATGCGTACTTTACGAATCTGTTATTCATTTTAAACGTACCTCTTATTTTCACTTATAAGCTTATACTAAACTTTTTAAATCTATTTATATATGAATTCTGGCCACGGCATCGAATTTCTCGAAATATTTAAGCCCGATTTCACATAAAAAACATTATACTTAACTGCATTCTAGCCAATTTGAGGACCAAAAACAGTTATTTTTTATTTGCATCCCTTAAAAATACACTAATTTCGAACAAAATCGTTAATTTCATGAATAATTATGGAGACGAATGGTGCTGCTTGGAAAACTCCATCATGAGAAATGCCTTGATAACTTTCTGATCGGTCATGACCAACGTACCTAACTGGAATTCACTTTCGTATAGAATTTACCAGTGATGTAATTAAAAATTAATATTGTTTTAAAAATTCAAAACCTATTTCAAACTGCAAAGGTAACTCAATTAAAAAAAAATGCTAAAAATTATCAGATGCCTTCAAAATTTTCCTGAAATTCTAATTAGTTATCCTCAAAAATATCACGAACATACTTCAAAGTCCTTGTGTATGTCTAGATTCAAAAGCCTTGCTTATTTTCCAAAGATCAATCTATTGTCTTCAATCCTGAACAGTTTTAGATTTCACTAATTTCCAAAATTAGGAAAATTCCTCCATATTGAAATTTTGATTTGTATAGATCCAGGATTAAAAAAAAAAATTATAGCCAAAATCTAAACAAAAACTCCAAATAACAAAAAAAAAACAAATCCTGGCTTGATAATTAAGAAAAAATGGTTTTGTGTGTGTGTGTGTCATCCTCTATCCCTCACCCAGCCGGGGGCGTTGGACAAGTAGAACTGCGAATAATTTGATCAAATCTCATGCTCCGTAATGGTGCCCTTTATGTTGTGAAGACTAGTACTTCAAAAAGGGTAACTTTTGAGGCAAGACAGGGTGTCCTCAACAAGTTAAGGGAACAGGATGCACTAGATGTCCACAACAGGTACAGCAAAACATCACATAGACGCCCTTATTCACACTAACTACTCAGGGGATAGAAGGTCAAGAAGAGCCACCGCCGCCAACTAAAGCTTGAACCGGGTACCTGGGACTCCCACGATATACCCGCGGCAATGGTCAGCAGACGATGCCCTGTGCGTATTTAGTATGTAATATGTTTTATTTGGATACACAAAATGTTTGAAGCCATGCGTCATCTAAACCATAATTTGCATCACCACAAATACACTTGTCAACAATCTTCAACTGGAACGTGCTCATCAAATCACTTCACCCGGGAGCGCATTCCCGATGCTTCCACGCATATTTTTCTCTCCACTCCAACCACAGAACAACCAAATATCACTTTTCTTCACTTTTCTTTTTCAAGACACTCCGTGCACAAAAGCAATGCACATCGCAAAACCCTAACAATAGATCAGCGCTGTGCTCATCACCGCGTAAATAAAAAGAAATTAAAATTTTCACTCGCGATGCCACAAATTTTTGGTCCGGGAAAAACAATAAAACCACGCAGCGTCAAATCTTCTGATGCTTGCAATTTTGCAAACATGATGAATCATGTTTTCTTTCTTGATTCTAAAACTTCTCGGAAAGCGAGAAAACCACCACTCACACACGTATAACCGTCCGGGAGGCAGAGTGCCAGCGCTAATCCGGCAAATGCAGCCGAAAACTATGAAAGAGAATGCACGCACAAAACAGAGAGCAAATTTAGATACAACCGTATCCAAAGGCGTTCAAAACTCCTTCTCATTAAGAAAAAATGGTTTTGTTCAGCCAATAATCTTTAAAAAATGTCTCAACTTTCATGATTCTGCAACCCATTGCAATTCCATGTATGACGTTTTAATAATGTCCAACGTTAATAATTAAAGTAGTGAGTT